ATATGAGCGTCCATGGAGGCAATTTATAACCTTGCCACAGCACAACTTATCTTTGGTTGCTACTCAGTCTGTCAGGACATTTATTATTATTATTATTATTATTATTATTATTATTATTATTTCTACTTTTAATTTCAACTTTTCCGAGTTAGGGAACAAAAATATGTATCACAAATAAACAAATCAATAATTTTCTCACTGGAGGATATTTCCAGGTTGCCCTATCCAAAAACTGAAATCTCTTGAGGAATACAGAATCGGAGCCTTCGATTGACCAACAAAGACTGACCCACAAAGAAGCTGGTAAATGCGTGGAAATAGCAATCTGTTGTGGAGTGATGTCCAGTCCACCGAACCATGGGGACGAAGTTAAACGTCGAAGTTACCCAAACACCTCAATGTTTAATCAAGGCGTTGACCCCATCAGGACAAAACTGCATCTTGACGTGATGTGATGGCTTATGCGCCCCCCCCCCCCCCTNGAGCTATAAGAGATGGCTACTCAAATCTGCAGATCCGACCACGTCTGAAAAGGCAATGGGAAGAAGCCAGATATAGTTACATCACAAGGGCAGTTGGTTGGGTGCCTGGTTTCCATTATGTTTATATTCATATTTTTTCCATTGACTACCTATTTTTAAGTTTTACTTTGTACAACCATTAACCATGCACATTTTATGCGCTGGTTTCAGTCGCTGTTTTTTTTTGGCTGACCGTTTGGTTGAAACAGTAAGGGAAAGACAGGAAAGTTGAAAGTTGGGTCGAAGAGAAAATGGAGAATTTCTATGGACTAAGGTTGCAAAGAAATTGAGGAGTTGCACAAACTCCACTGTTTACGGCACTCATTTATATCACCAATGAGTACTATGATCCAGAGGTAACCGTCCAGGGAGCCTGACGCGACCTATATGACCGGGTATCCTGATTAAGTTTTCCATACCCTCGTGCCATGCCTTAATTTGACCACACGGCTTTTTTCCACCTAAAACCCGCCTTGGCAATCATCTCATGCCGTTGCAACCTATTTGGTGATATGCGCAATACAGGCCTCAACCAAAGTAGTCTATGGAGGTCAACTCTCCATGTGTCAGCCGAATCGGCATCCGATACTCGGTTCTAATGGCGTCGAAATTGCGCTAAGTGTCTATGGTGACTAGATTCCACTTAGTAACCGACGGTGCGCTGTACGCTCCAACGGCTCAGAAAGGGGCAACAGTCATAGAACGAAGCGCCAGTGCCTATTCGTCGTAACTGTACATGCACCAACTGATTGTGATTCGCCTGAAATGAAGGAAGAATTCTACAAGGACCGTTCTCAACCACTCCAAAGTGTTCACCCAATGGACATCGTGATAGTCACTGGAATTCTCTCGTTGTCCCTCAGTTTAACCATTGGCCGAAGGACTGAGTGAATACCAGTTCAATTCATTTTCTTTCAGTTTGAACAACCATGCAACCATACACTATCGTGCTCCGGTTTTGGTTGCTGTCTTTTGGCTGCCCATTTGGATGAACATAAGGAGAAAGATAAGAAAGGTTGAACGTAGGACCGAAGAGAAAATTTAGGATTTCATTGCAGTAATTTTGCAGAGAAATCGACAAGATGCACGAGCGCCACTGTTTGCGACATCCAGCCATATCACTCAGTGTCTCTAACCATCGGATATGATCATCCCGAGGTCCTCATCCAGAGAGCCTAACGGGACCTATGTGACCCAGACTCCTGGTTAGGGTTTTGATACCTTCATGCCAAGTCTCGGTTTGATCACTGTTGACTTTGTTCCACCCAAGACCTGCCTCGGCGAACATCACTTGCCATGGCAACCTATTTGGTGAAATGCGTAACACGTCCCGACCAACCCACTACGGAGATCGACCACTTGCTCTAGTGGACGACCGCATTTACCTAAAATTCTGTACCAGAACGAAAGTGCACCTTGACGGGGTGTGGTGGCTTGCGTGCCTCCATGAAACTGCGGGCTACACAGGATGGCTTTTCACAGCCGTAGATCCAATCATGCCTGGAAGGCCAACGGGTATAGGCGATACGAAGCTCAGTCTCACAAGGCCAGCTGTTTGGGCACCTCCTGGCTTCCTTCTTCCATCCACACCCACCCCTGGAGAGGTCACTCTAGCAAATAAACACGGTGAGGGGCAGTTTACCGGTCAAAAAGCCGCTAGATGAACGCAAGAGCGGGTTACCTGGGGCTTACTCTTGACGGTGGGAGAAGTCTTCGCACTTCATTGGACAGCTACCGCCCGCCCAAGCTGGGTAGCCCCCAGCCA